ATCCGCCCCGCCCGCGGCATCCGCTTCCGGGGCGGGGCCGGGCGCACTTCCGGGGCGGGGCCGGCGGCAGCGCGGGAAGCGTTGAAGCGGCGCCGGTGAGTGCGGGGATGGAGGGGAAGGTCAAGGCCTTAGGTTTCTCTCTGGGGCTCTTGCGAGGGTGTCAAACAATGTTAGATTTGCAGGCGCCTATAGTTATGGTCTTTCTGTATACTTGGCAAGAAAAAAAAGCTGCTTTATTTTCTGTACGAAAAAATAGCGAAAACTAGGAGCTGGCATTCGTTATGGGAGCCTTGAGTCTATCTAGGGGTGCCTTGAGTCTCAAAAAGTTGGGAACCACTGGTACAAATGGTCCACGACTTCCATCGTGTGAAGGAACTGTTGTTTGAGACCCCGTGTTAGTTGCTTGGGAGAGGGAGAGGAGCTCGTGTGTGTGGCAGAAAGCAAAATATCCCCTTCAAGAGGGTTTTTTCTCCCCCCCCCCCGTTGAGAAATGCAGATTTATCTCCCCCTGTGCTGAATTGTAAGTGGATGACTCAAATCTGCTATTTGATCCTTTTTAATATTGCCATACGTTTGAGAGATGGCTATCCAGGAAAGATTGCACTTACTCAAAACTATGGGAGGTAGTGGTCTATCTGTTTTACCCCTGAGTTCTGCAGCCTGGTTTTACTTTGGGATAAGTTAAAGCCCATTGCTTCCAGGCAAATAGATTTTGCTAGTCAGCTGGGAGGTTGCTTATGTTAAATAAATTAATTCAAACACTGGCAAAAATAAAATTGTTAATACAGTGATTCTCAACCAGGGTGATGCAGCTAAGGTGGCTGTCATAGAGGACAGTCTGGTTGTCCTCTATTGATACAAAACTGGATGCCTTTATGTCCTCTATTTTTCTCTTGAAGGACAGAGGACAGAGTAGCAGAAAACTGTAATGCCCTCCGTGATGGCCACCCCAGCTGCAGCACCCTGGGTGCCATGAGGTCCTTTTAAGGGTGTCACAGGTATTAGCAGTGCTAGGTGTGCAAACATATACAAATTATTCACAAGATAAACCCAAAGATTTCAAATAGGAATCTGCTGTGTCAAAACCATTCTGACCTGTTATGGCCTTTCTGTATTCTTTGCAACAGAAGAATTGATCCATAATTTGTCTGTAGTCAAAAAATGAATGAAAGTTAAGAGCTTGTGTTTTCTGAGGTCAGGCTTGATTCTAATGAGGGGGACCTTGAATCTAAAATGTTGAGAACCATTGAGTTAAGACATCAGAAGAGTCATAAAACTAAGGTCTAAACCTAGATTAGGTTTTTAAAAAAATGCTTTCTTTTTCAGCAGCATAGTATGAAATGACTGTTTTTTGGAGCCAACATTTATCCATGATGTTCATTTCTCTCATGCAAAAGAAACACATTTGTCCCAAAGCTGTCTGTGTTGCTCATCCAACCCCAGTTTTGTACTTGGTTTCTTGCACGCAAACCCTTCTCTTACATGGGATCCAATTAGAGTAATTTCCCTACAGTTGCAAAAGCAGCTTGTACAGACAGAATTGCAGGGCTGGGGCACGCTAATTGGTTTGGCATAGATTTGCCGTTGTTAGTATCGTCCAACCAGTTTGGCTTCTACACAGTAAAGTCTTGGGTGTAATTGCCTAACCAGAAGTATGATAATATTTGCTGATCTCCACTGTCCACATTTCATCATTTCCCACCAGACAGGCTTTAGCAGGTATTTTTCAAAGTAAAATGGTTTTGCAGTGGGTGCATCTACACATATGCTTTACTGCAGAGTTGACTAATTAGCTCTGCAGTAAAGTGTCACAGTCTACATAAGCTCCAATATTAGGGCGCAGTAAATAAATTAACTCTGCCATAGGAAGGTATTGTTGGGGACAGTACTGTCCTATAGAGGAGTAATTTACTCTGCCAAAATACACATGTAAATGGTAACGGGTGGCTGGGGCACAAGGGTGTTAAAGTGTGGGGGCTGCCTGCCTCCTAGCCCCGCACTGTAGCACTCTCATGCCCCAACCAGTCCTTCGGGTGCCACCACTTGGAACCTGGAGCTGACTCCAGCCCCTGATCCCCTGCCAGCTCAGTGCTGCTCTGCCCTACCTCAAAGTGCTGTGGTTCTGGACACACGTGGAAACACTGCACCCAGGAGCAGCCAACTCTGGCATGAACTTCACCAGTTTATTTCATCGCACTAATAGAATGTGTAGAAACACCCAGTGATTCTTATAAACATCTTCAACAAGAAAAATAGACAAAAACATCATGACATCAGCTGTTTTCCATCCTGAGGTTTCTAAAGAGCTCTCCTATCAGTTGTAACACAGAATGGATCATTCTTTTATAACATTATTTTTTTTTTGTTTATATAGAGGAGAGAGAAGATGCCTTCCACACAGAAACCAATGCGGTATGGACACACAGAAGGCCATACAGATGTCTGCTTTGATGACACTGGAAGGTACAATACTGGACTGAGGACTTATTTGAGTAATTTCCTGTAAAATTAATCTTGTAGAAACAGCTGATGCTCAAAGAAGAGTTAGGAGGATGAAAGACCTGATAAAAATGTTCATGTGAAGGGACACTGAGGAGTTAGGATTTTTTTTTTTAACTTTAGGAAGGAGATTAGTAAGAGGGGGCAGAAGAAAAGTATGTGAAATAGTGGATGGCACTAAGAAGGTAGATCAGGAACTTTTGTTTTCCATCTCTTAATTCCAGGAACAAATGGATATTCAGTGAATCTGGGGGCGGGGAGAGAGGACAGTGCTCAAAACCGATAAAAGTAAATACTTTTTACGTAATGTGTAATTGTAGAAGTCCTTGCCACAGGGCTCGTTATTTGGATTTAAGTTAATCACAGCACATTTGAAAGGCCTATTAAATTTCATCTTTACGTGCTTAGAGATTAGGATGAGACCTGTTCTTGTGGGCAGCAGACTATTTGACATTTGTCTGCTCTTAGGTTCTTACACCTCCCTTAGAAACATGGCACTGGCCACTGTCATACGAAAGATACTGAACTAGCTGAATCTCGGGCCTAACTCATTATGGCTGTTCCTGAGTTGTTTTGACCTTACATAGGGTTATTAATAAAACATTTATATTCTGAAACTCTGAATTTGCAATGATTTACACATGTATATACCTTTACACATGAGTGACTAATCCAGTAATATGTAGTGGAAATGGGCATAGTCTGGGGGAATGTATTATGCACATAGTCCCTGGATAGGCAAGAAATAACTGGCTCAGTCCAGTTTTAGACTCACTGTCCTTTTTTTGTTCTGTTTGTTATAGTCCTTGTACTGTGTTAATATTGGAGTGTTTTGTATAAACCAAATATTCTTCATTTGCTAGCAGTTGGTAATAACC